AGACTGAGGGTGATATGCATGAAAGATGAGGGTGATATGCATGAAAGGCAGCGGGTGATATACATCCCTTCCAGGAATAAAAGGCCAGTCATTGATAAGAATGTAATTTCAAAGTTAAACTTGTTCACATGGTAGACTTTCCAAGAGTTTCTGTCTGTCCCTCAGTTTTCACATCCAGCTGCTTGTTTCAGATCTCAAAGTAAGGTGACTGGATAAACCCTTACAGATGCCTTCTGTGAAGTTCCGAGAAAAACATTTCAAAGTCCTTCAACCAGGGCAATGTCAGATCTGTGAGATTACTGCCAGATTTTGGGGTGTCTATCACAGGATTTTTTTTGGGGGGGGGGTTTTACAAAACTTGAAACTCATAATTTTATGAGAGGAGGAGAAAAATGAAATTCTAAGGTCGTTTTATTTACTGGTTTTGTTGAGCCAAAGACTTTTTGGATGAAGTGTGTCGATAAAGAGTCCGTTCATCTGTTTGTTTTCATAATGGTTCGAATAACAAATTTTAATTCAACTCCATAAACACCAGCAATAAAATAGAAAATATTTTCCACTTTATGACTTCAAAGTCTTGTCAGCAAATGCAAAAGTTTTTAACTCAATCCTGTTGGAAAGAGGAGCAAAGACTGTCTGCAATTTCAATAAATGTTCAGAGAAAACGTGAAAATGACTCCAGTGATGGATCTCTGCATTTACTGTTTATTAGAACAACATGTTGATGACGATGATGAAGATGATCATGATCATGATGTGTGTGTTTTCTAGTCGAGGAGGCGCTGGTACGGTTGGTGAATGGGTCTGGACCTCATGAAGGCCGTGTGGAGGTGTTGCATGAGCGGCGCTGGGGAACGGTGTGTGACGACGTCTGGGACAAAAAAGATGGAGACGTGGTCTGCAGGATGCTGGGATACAGAGAAGCAGCAGAGGTCCACAAGACCGGACGCTTTGGACAAGGTATACCAGGACACACGTGGTACTGGTACTCTGGTATATTTTGGACTTAATTAGTGTCCAGTGCTGCTGAGAAGTTAATATTATTGTCTATATCTTTGTGTGTTTGTTACCAACATTTCTCATGAATTGGACAAGTTTTAATGAAACTTCATCCAGCTCACCTTGGAAAACACAAAAGTGTCTATAATCAAGACAATTTTACAAAAGACGTTTTTATTTTGGGTGCTTCTTTCTGCAGACAAAATGTTTTATACTAGGTCTTTCCTGGGATTAGACCGCTTAACTGACCCTTCTACTGCAGCCCCAGACAAATTAGCTAATATTTAACAACAGTTTGTTGTGGTTTGTCTAGTGGATTGGTTAATATTTTACTAACAGACAGATGCATGAATGCAACGAACAGTACATCAGCAATAATAAAGAAATTACAGAACTAAAAATACTCCAAATATAAGTAAATTTAAGATCACAGTAAATAAAATTAATTTGAAATCAAAAGTTCTTAAGTAAACCCTGAAAATTTGTTCTATACTTCAGTCTAGTATCAGTAGCGGATTAACAAGGTCCACTTCAAATGTTGGGGAACTCCAACATCTGACAAGAAATGGGTTTCTGGAAGAAAACATCAAAACTCCCAAGCCTCCAGGTGATGTCCAAGCCGACATGTCGTCGTTTCTATGTCTCTTCAAGCCCTGATCTTCTTGTACCAAAGTCATGTGACATGATCTCTGCACCAACCGCACAGCTCTGCACTCGGGGCTGTAACCCGCCGAACTACAAGAGTGGCTCCAGCAGGTTCCAAGGTCTCTGACCAGAAGTGCAGCGTCCACCTAAGATACTGCACAAAACCCTCAAGCTCCCATCATATATCCATCCATCCATCCATCCATCATCTTCTGCTTGTTCTGAAGTCAGGTCATGGAGGCAGCAGCTTGAGCAGGGAGGTCCAGACATCTCCTTCCACAGCCACCTCTTACAGCTCTTCGGGGAGGACCCCAAGGCGTTCCCAGAGCACTTGAGAGACGTCATCTCTCCTGCGTGTCCTGGATGCTCCCTGAAGCACCTCCCTAGGGAGCACCCTTACCAGAGCTCATGACCATAGGTGAGGGTAGGAACGTAGACTGACCGGTAAATAGAGAGCTTCGCCTTACAGTTCAGCTCCCTCTTCACCACAACGGACAGGTGCAGGATCCACAATACTGCAGATGCTTCACCAATCCATCTGTCAATCTCACGCTCCATTCTTCCCTCACACATGAACAAAACCCCGAGATACCTGAACTCCTCCACTTGAGTCAGAACCTCACCCTCGACCCGAAGACAGCAGTCCACCCTTTTCCGACTGAAGACCTTGGCCTCAGATTTGGAGGTGCTGATTCTCATCACAGCCGTTTCACACTCGGCTGCGAACCGCTCCAGTGAGAGCTGAAGATCACGGCACGATGATGCCAACAGGACCACATCATCTGTAAAGAGCAGAGATGGAATCCTGGGGCCACCGAACCAGAAACCCTCCGCCCCCTGGCTGCACAGAGATGTTCTGTCCATAAAAGTTATTAACAGAATCGGTAACAACGGGCAGCCCTGGTGGAGTCCAACTCCCACCCTGAAGGAGTCTGACTTACAACTGGCAATGCGAACCAAACTCACACCGCTTGTACTGGGACCAAACAGCCAGCAGCAACAGGCCCCCAATCCCATACTCACGGGGCACCCCACAGTGTACCCCGAGAAGCACGGTCGAATGCCTTCTCCAAGTCCACAAAACACATGTAGACTGGATGGGCAAACTCCCATGACCCCTGAAGGACCCTAGTGAGGGTAAAGAGCTGATCCAGTGTTCCACATCCTCTTTAAATAAATTATATTTATATTGAATTATTTGGTCAAATTGAAGGGGTGCTTCTTCTAAGATTTTTTTTTTTTTTTGGGGGGTCAGATTCTCAAAGATTTATGAAAGTATTTTTTTTTTTAATCAAATCATATCTACAACTTTATTTATTTATTTATTTTAGTTTTGAAGGACAAAGTTTTGCATTTTATTAACTCTGGTGTTTCTGCTGTTGAGTGGTACTCCTTGACCGGTGCCCTACAATGCAGCAGGGATTAATAATAAAGTTTTATTACTAAGACTTTATGAGCCAAAAGTCATAAAGAAACCATCCTCAGAAGTGAGATTTATTTTTCTTTCTCTCTCCATTTAATGTCATTTGCCGATCGGCCTTACGTCATCCAGAAACTGTCCAGCCAGAAGAAGAAGAAGAAAAAAGGGGGAAATATAATTTTCTTCCAGGGGACACCCTTCATATAATAACAGAGGATTACCTCATGGCTGGACATGATTATAAACAAGCTGGAAATCAAATCTTTCAGTGGTTTTTCAGACTAGTCCCATATCTGTCTGATTGATGGGATTTACGAGCGTTAAGGTTTATTTTCTTGGCCCAGATTAGACCGGAAACAACTAGATCATCCAGATGAGTACGAGGGTATAGATTCTGTGAAGTTTAATCGTTCAGTTAGGAGCCTTAAATCAAAAAAATCCCTCTAGAGTTTCTGACTGTATTCACCAAATGCCTTTAAGCAATAATCCTAGGTGATAATTCTGAGCTGGGTTGCGTCTAAAATATGGAGTTAAAAACAAAAAAAGGGTTGTTTTTTTTTTGTTGTTTTTTTTTATTTACATGACAGAGGTGGAAAGATGTTTTACTACCGAGGGGGTGGGGGTTCACCACATGTCAAGCTCAGAGTATGTGCTGTAATTGACTCTCAACTACTACCACACCACATTTTAGCTCTGCATCTGTAAAAATGACTGAATTTGAGCTGTTTTAATGCCCATTTTTAATGGGATTATGCCCAAATATTACTCAGATGTGAATGTTGTGTTCAACGTGTTGCTCAGCTGCTACCAAACCAACTTTTACCTCAACATCTGTAAAATTAGCTGAGTCATAGCCATTCTTGTGCTTCCTAAGGTCTGTTGACTATGGCAGCCATCTTTAATTAGTTTGATTCTAAACATAATCAGTTGTAGATGACGTCTTTTTAAGAATTACGTTCTGAAAATTTAACCAAAATCCTTTTGGTGGTTCATTAGATATTTTGCTAACAATCAGAGATGATTGCATGGCAAAAAGAGCTGTCATTTCTAATCCGAACCCAGAGACCGGCTCCGCCGACCCGGATTAGGGCCGGGCCATAATAATATGCTTAATGTGCGAGCCAGGTCAGTGTCGGGCTTTTGATTGCGTCAGCGGACGAGCGTGGCTGACGATCCAATTATATGGCCATGTGTCTTGCCATACAATCACCAGAAGCACACGGCTATTTGATGGCACGCCGACCGGCTTTGAAAGAGGAAAAAGTTCAGTTAAGCTTCAGATGGACTACTGCCAGCGTTCCATCGGTCCAAATGAACATTCATTCAGCCGCTGCACTCAGCGGACGCACGCGGCCAATGACCCAAACAGGTGAGATCTCAAAATATCCAACATGTCAGAGCAGGGTCCGTGTCTGAATAATGCAGAATGCAGGCAGAAGCAGGGATTTAATGTGCTTTGACGGCCATGAAAGGACAAACACCCCCTCAGCTTTGATATTCTGCCCCTTTTTAGCGTGTCCGCTGACCGTTAACTATATAAGCAGTCACAGCTTAATTGAAAATGTCGGGGGGTGTTTCGGACCTGTAATTACGGTTATTCGTCAGGTCGGGTGGAGTTTAGAAATGACGGCTATGGGGTGGGGCTGGGTTGGATTTTTTGGGCCCGAATGAAACTCTAATGGCAAATGACTGCATGAAATGGCGAAGTTTCAACAGCAGATCTCACATGATCAGTCATTGGTTCGGGCATCTGGATCAGACACTTGTAGATGTAACCTCAATGATTATTTTTCTGAAAGTCTCATTAAAAATTAGTTTGGTGATTAATGAGAATTTTTGCTAACGCAAGACGGACACCAGCGAAAACATTATCGCTTCGCTTTTATAGACCGACAATAAAAAGGCCTCTTACTTACTCTTAGTGTGGACTTTCTGAAGTGTTCCTGTCTCGTTGTTACACAAAAACCTTGTTCTTTAAAAAAAAAAAAAAGTTTCTAAGCTCAATCATCCTGGTATATAACAACAAAAACTGTTAAATCATCATCTGGACCAGTTTCTTTAGGTGAGAAACATTTTGTCCCTCATCCAGAGGACTTTGTCAGTCTGCAGCCTGCCAACCAGATCTGTCCCACAGGTAGGGACGAAACATTAAAGAAACAGGTCCAGATGGCATGATTTAACCATTTTTGTTCTTGTTCTTTTTAATCCTCTTGATCTTCGTACTTGTGCATCAATCCCGGAGGTTCCTCCGACGTCCCACCCAGTGTTTTTAATGATGCAACAGTTTGTAAAAAAAACGCTGTAAACGCAAGTTGAGTAGATGTTTCGTGAGCGTGCAAACAGAGCTATAAATGTATTAAAACTCAGAGTAAACCGTTTAAAAGGTTCACGCAAACTGACACGAGCAACAGAACAGCTGGGCTGAAACACATGCTGCCTTCAGGATCCTTTCCCGAAACACATGCTGCCTTCAGGATCCTTTCCCGAAACACATGCTGCCTTCAGGATCCTTTCCCTCGTGGTTGTGAAACACATGCTGCCTTCAGGATCCTTTCCCTCGTGGTTGTGAATCAGAAAACTGCAGAACTGAGATGTGAGCGTAAACAAAAGCTCCAACAGGCGTCTCCAACTGTTTAAAGAGCTGCAGCACTGAAGCGTCTTTGACTCACGAGCAGAAATCAGTTTATAAGGAAAACAATTTGACCAGTTGGATATGTTGGTTTTATTACGGGATAAACATGATCCCATCAGCAGAAAACCTGCTATCTCTTTCAAAGAGGCAAAAAAAAAAAAAAACTTGTGTGGTTGAAGGAATTTTTCCATCCTCCCCCAACAACAGAAATTAAAACATAAGAATCAGGAAAACGGTTCAACTTCTTGCTCATGGTTTTTTGGAGTTTATGACCTTTAAAGGATGTGCAGCACAATCAGCTGAAGAATCTCTTGGGCAGGTGCAACATTTTCCTGCTCTTCGGCTGCAGTGGCTTTATTTTACTCTGAGCACACGAGTCGTCGCAGCTGATATTTTACTGTCATTTCAACTCATATCAACCCGATTCATCCAATTAATTATTTTTGCTTGCACTTTAAGCAGAAACTGAAAGGGTGCGTTTATAAAATTAAGGGTTTAACATTTTATTAAGGAATGTTGATCATCTATCATCTGATCTTGAAAATAATCAGAATAAGTTTTATTATCATTGTACCGAAATACAGAGAAATTATGTTCATACACTTATCTAAAAAAGATGGGCGGAGTGCACGTTGCTGCTGCTCCTAAGAGAGTGGCCCCCTTAATCTTTTTAGATAGGAAAAGGGGGAAAAGCCATGAGAGGATAGTGGCGTTACAAAAAGATCTCTTCACCCCATGTCCTATCACATAAAAAAACTCTACCAGCAAACACATTTATAAACATTGCATATGCATTTGATGACAAGACGTTGAGATCTGTCCATGAAGCACTTCCAGATAGCACCATAGTCCTGATAAGATGTTGGTGTCAGCCGGTACAGCTCTGATAAGACTTCACAGAAGTTCTTTGGGGGGGGGGGGGGGGGATAGACAGAACTTTCTCAGTTTACACATATCCCAGGATAAATCTGATAAGTCGGCCTGCTTTGAGGTCAAACAGGGGAGTCAGATTCAGATAAGCCACAGTTGTTTTTCAGGCAGACTGTTATTTCTCATCAGCCTCGAGTCCTGCTGGTACTTTTAATCCAAAATGGCCAGATTTGTGGGCATTCCACTGCTTCATGCTTATTAGATCCCTTCAAGGTCATCCCCAACATGCTGGCGAGTCCCAGAAGCCGCAAGTGGCCTGCGATTCTTACAAATCGCTTCCTTCTTACGGTTTAGTTCGTAAATCAGCTGATTTTGAGTATTCGAAGCACGAACCAAACCTGCAAACATGGTTGGCATCTTTGCCATGGCCGAAACTGCTGCTGCTCTCTTCTTTAATAGCCGATAACATTGGTATCCACCGGTGCCAAAAAGCAGAAACCCTGCTATCATGATTTCAATATCTTCCTCCTGAGACAATATGGAATGGCACATCAGCTCCATGACGTATCCTGCTGCGTGCGTCTCAGCGGGGCATGAGGGCTCTCTAGGACCCCGTCGCTTTGTTGAAAAAAAAATGTAGCGATTTCTTTGAAAGTCCAGCTGACCAGATCCATGACCGTAGTTTACGTTTCGGAAGTTGTGTAAATAGGAGCTCCGATACACAAGACAGAGAGTGAAAAAGCAGGAGGACGGAGAGGGAAGAAAGGCGTCCATCTTGCACGAGAGCAAGTGGTGAAAATAAATAAAT